GAGGGAGGGGCATTTACAGAATTGAATTGATATGAATTTCCAAGAAAGTCCCTGGCTCAAGGCCTGAACTACTTGACTTTGGAGTTTTTTCAGGGTATAATTTGTTAAACTCTTAAAAAATTACACTCTGCTTTAAAATTCACAACCCACGCCTTGCTCATCACTGCTTCAGTGTGGTAAACTTGCCATAGCACAGCCCATTGGGGTTTCTTAATAAAAAGAATTCATTATTCTATCTCTTTTCTTCCCAGTACTTCTCCTAAGTAGTCAGAGCCCTAAGGTTAACAGGCCCAGAACTTCATATTCTTTTGTGAGCCTAGTCAATCAGCAGAATATCAACCGTGGTAGCAGACAGGAGCGGCCAGTTTTAACGCTTTATTCCTTTTTCTGCCTACTCCTAGGGGAAAGGGCAGACTGATCTTGGGAGTAGGATAGAGGACAGCTTGCAAGTCCCCTCTGGTGGCTATCTAAAGCCACTTACTAAGCCTAGAGCTCCATCTGGCTTTAATTTCAGAGAAAGAATGTGTAAAACTGGTGTTATGAAGACTGTGTAGAGTCAACACGAGACCTCAATCCACGATCTTTTCCACATCTCAATGGAATAGAAGACCTTTACTAAGATCAGACACCTATGTGCTCATCATAGGCCCAGACATTCAAAATTTCTAATAAGGAGGAAGATATCTGGAAACGACTGGAAGATGCAACAAGAAATCACAGAGTAACTGAAAACTTTGAAACTATAGGCCATGGAATTGGCACACATTCAATTTATTTTAGCTTTTTTGTCAACAAAGGCATGTTAGCCATCAATACCATTCACCACAGAGGCACCCATACCTGGGAGCTAGTCGAGGCTGGTCAAGTCTTTCCACCTTGCAGAGATGACTCTAATGCTGTTATTTTTATATTTGACTTTATTAAAAAACCTACATTACCAATTTCCCTTGTCCCAAAACTCAAGGCTGCCAGCAGAGGGTTGGAGGTATAAATAGGTATAGTTACAATAATCACATATACCCTTTTCCCCATATAAGCACTCCACTTTAATCCACAGAGGTCAGATACTTTACTAAATGGATAGTACCTGGCACTGAGAAAGCTTAATAAGATGCAGGAAGTTTTAAAGTACCTGCTTTTCGAGGCTACCAGGCAGTTATGGTAATTTAGTAAAAAAAGGATAGAACACCCTCCTCTCTCCATAAAGGGCACCTGTGGGTGTAATGATGCAACAGAGGTTGTAGGGCTCTAGACTGAGACAAGGAATTATGTGTATGCAGTCAGCAGTGCGTGCCAGGCTCTGTAAATAAGCAGCACTTTTTATACATCAGTTCATTAAATCCTTACCCTAGGAGATAAGCAGTATCCATTTCACAGGCAAGAAAATCAAGGCTGTGAGTGGTTATGTAATTTGGCTAAGTTACGTAACTTGTAAATGGCAGAGCTGGGATTCAAACCCAAGCTAGCCTGTTTTAAAGTTCAAGTTATTTTCCACAATACTGTGAGGTGGAGAAACTTGTGCAGCAGTGGACAGCTTGGGCTTACCCTGTGATTCTGAAATGAAGACCCAGGCACCCAAGGTTCCATCCTTCACAAATGAGGAGTCAAGCCCTGTCGCAGGGGAGTGAATCCTTTCAGCTGCCTCACTGGCTTCACTGCTGGCTGCTGCATTCTCCTCCTAACTGGAATGGCACTAATTTTGAGGATTACCGACTGCCCAGACTATTCTAGTCCTGTGGCCCTTAATCTAAATAATCAGAAGCCAAAGTGGCAGAAGATTCTGCTATGGAAAGAAAACATCTTGCATACAGGATGCAGAACTAGTTTAGGTTGTCAACTAAAGAAGGTGGCTATCAGAAAGCTACCCAAAGATGGTTACCCTACTGGCAGTTGAGAAAGAATAGGCAATTGGATTCATCCTTTGGTTGATTATGTCAGGCAACTTGATTTAGAGACAAATCTCTGCCTGATGTACTTCTTTCTTCCCTTTGGCTGGATATAATCAGGTCCTAGTTATCAGGGTCCTTTGGTCCCAAACTGGGGGATGCTGATTTCCTGCGCTTTTCAACTAAAAGGGAGTCAGGGACCTAGAACTATGGTTTAGTTTCTCTGCCTTAAGCCTACAGTCCTCAACTCCCTAGGGTGGTGGTTCTGAGAAGGCAGGTTCTTTATACACACAGCCAGGATGCACGTGTGTGCTGGCAGGTAGGAGGGGAACAGGATATTTATTAACAAAGCTAAGGTCATTCAAACCTGCCCATTGGTAATATTTTCACATCCTTGCCCTACAGCAGGATCTCTAGTTTGTTGCCCAGAGATCTCTCTCATCTCTGAATTCCTAGTTCACAGAAACAAGAAATACCCTTAAGAGTCCATGTTAAGAATATTTTATTTGTTTTTTGAGATTACATAGTCATTATTGCTGATCTAATACAATCACTTAGACATAAAGATTTCCAAGAACTTCTCAGAAATGATAATCCTTAGAAGTTTTATTCCTTTCAGTAAGATGACAGAACTAGATAATTACGTATATATATAGAGAGATATATATGTGTATATATATAGTTTAGAACCTGTCCACATATAATTTGCTGGTGTTGCCTATTTTCCTTCCGTAATTTTCCTTTATTGAAAAAGCTTAATGCAACAATGCATTTTGATTCCTTTTTTAAAAACCATGGCAAAGTTAATTTTGAGAAAACCACAGGAGCAGCAATATCAGATCTGTTCAGAGAAAAGCGAAGCAGCAAAAAAGCTTTGCAAGAGTATGTGGCCATGGGGAGCCGTGCTCATATGGGCAAGTAGGATTGGGAGGGAGGAGAGCAGAGGGAAGGTAGAGTAGATACATTTTTTTTTTCTTTGTTTAAATGAAAAAAAGAAAACTGAATATCTCCATTAAGAAGGCAAAAAAGTGCCAGGCACGGTAGCACACACCTGTGGTTCCAGCTACTCAGGAAGCTGAGGCAGGAGGATTGCTAAAGCCCAGGATTTTGAGACTAGCCTGGGCAACATAGTGAAACCCTGTCTCTAAGGGGGAAAAGAAAAGAAGAAGGCAAAATATTAGCACAGATTCATTGTAGAGAAAATGGTATGTATCTTCACAGACTGGAGCCACATACAAAGAGATAATTAGCCTTCTTTCCCATGCTTCCAGATAACTAGGATGCATCTAAGGTAAGAGGTTGGAGGAAAGAAGATACATTGCTCTGATTCCAAGGGTAGAGGGAATAATGACCGATTTCAACCCTAAGATAGAACCCAAATACTTGGGAGGCTTGTGGTTCTTTCTTCTTAATGTTGATGGCACAATGTCCCTACAAAGAAGAGAGGTCATCTGAAACTCAGAGGCAAATAACTCATCATGGGCAGCAACACTGGCAACCTAACTTGAAGCCCAGTGTGGCTTTTTTATTTGGAGTGGGTCTCTTCACTATAGCAAGGCAGAATGTACTCCTTAAGTACCAGCATATAGTAAGCTCCAGAGAGCAAGGCTTTGCTGAGAAACAGCAGGTTATGATTTTTGGTCTAAGAATACAATAGGCTACAGACTATATATCTGCCAAATGGAATCTGCTCTGGATATAAGATAAGGTACAAAGATCTGAATCTCTTGCTAAAGGGACCCAATTAATACAAAAATCAGGACTAGGTAGGCAAAAGGAAGAACTGAATGTCTTAGTGGGATTTTTAGCATTTATGATCTTCCTTATAAAAAAGAATATAACCAGTACTTGCTGAGACATATGGCCTCTGAAGAACTGTAGTCTATGGGCTGAACCTGTATACTATTTAATGAGGCAAATAGTCATTTACCAAAGTTCCACTTCCTACTTCCAAAAGTAAGGTCACTTTCAGACTAGCTCTGAGAGTGTATGTGAAGACCAAGAGAAGTTGGAGAGGGTGGAGGTAGAAGAAGAGAATCAGGATGGGAAGGTTATAGTGGTCATGAGTGGTCTGGTGTTTCCTTGAGTCACCTTGGTCTTGAGACTTTGAGGCAGATCAGCATAGGAAAAAAGTGGGAAACAAACAAAACTGAGAGTGTTAAATAGGATCGATAAGGGGAAGAGGCTTATTTAATTCAAGTTTCCTAGGGCCACTCCAGACTAACTCTTAGAACCAATCTGGTCCCAATGAAACCCTTGAGACCAACAGATCAGTCTCCAAAAGGAATCCAATTTTTGAGTGGGACATAAAATGTCACGCTGCCCACAACACATTACTAATTCTTTTTGTAGCACTGGAGTTACTCAAGAAACTGCCTCTGAAATACAGAATCCTCAAATGGAAGAGTTATAAAAGATATGCCAGCAGAGAAGACCACAGATCAGATTGCAGATCTCAAGTTTCATCCATAGCAATTGTCAAAGGAATGAATGTCTGACGAGGTTCAAACTAGTCAAATTAGCTTTGATAATCTGGGTACAGTTTACAATTTCATCTCTGTATCCCTCAGCCAGTCAAGCTGCAATGACCTCCCTGGGAAACAAATAAATATATTCTGCTTCGTTAGGGTATCAAGCTCTGAGTCTGAAAGACCGGTCCCATTTCCAAAGCCTATACCCCTAAGTGTCTGAAAAAGTATGCCTTTCCCTACTGTTTCAGATGTAGCTTTAGGCAATAGCAGGAAGTTTCAGGAAGCAGTGCTTCACAACAAGCTCTCCTTTTCTGAGACAGTGCCAGTCTGGAGGGGCTTCCTTGGAAAATATCCAATTAAATGACAAGGAAGTAAAACTATGCGTCCCAGTGGAGCTGGCCCCACTTCCTGAGCAGAGGTTGGCTGGATTAGAAAGACAGCAAAACAAATGTCTGACAAATACCAAAACTGTGGAGGAAATAATGGAGGCACATCCCTCTTGCAACCAGCAAGTGTTAAAATGGACGTAAATATTCAAGGAGAAGAAAGGAGTCCTGGGTAAGAAAGGAGACCCCTGGTAGGCACAGCACAGCTGAGTTCTTGATGTAGCTTGGCAAAGCCATAAATAACACTCCTTCCTTATTAGCCTTTATATAAAGAAGGCAGTGATAGTGATGGTCAAGATTGGGAATCCAATCTTGCCTGAAACACTGGCCATGTTAATTCCCAACGGCCTCACCTGGGGAAGGGCCAAAGCTGAGAAAAGCAGGTGCTGAAAATTTATTCCAGAAAACTCCAGGGAACGGGGAGTATGGAATCTCTGGACTAACTCGTGAGCCTGGACAAGAGGAAAAAATGGCCACTGCTGAGGATTCAGTCAATGGGGAATGATGCAAATGATGCACTGGGAGCAGTGACCCCATTTCTTTCCTTCCTCAGCCCGTCCTCTGTGGCTCTCATGGCCCTCAGGGCAGTAACCACACTCTGGGCCAATGCTACAGGCACAGGATTCTTGATTTTAATAAATAAATAACCTAACACACAGGGTGAGCACGGCAGGCAGCTTTGATTGGAGAAGCAGCTTGCTGAATTCTTTCTTGTATAGTAGTGGAGAAAAGGCTTGGAGTTCTATTCCTTAAAACTTCTGGTTTGAGTTACAGGAACTTAATACCTGGAGGGAAAAGAAAGATGAGACTGTGATGTTATCAGCTAATGGGGATGCTGGGACATGAAGAGCCTGCCTAAAGGTGTAACAGGAGGCAGAGACTTTCCTGGAGTGTGCAGTGACAGAAGATAACTGTGTCTCCTTTTCACATCATTGAAAAAGGCCAGTATTTCTCCATAGAGAGATAAAAATCATGGCAACAAGATGAAATGGGGAAAGGAATTAAGGAAGGGGAACTTTATTTAATGAGGCAAATAGCCACTTACCCAAACTCCACCTCTCTGTCTCCAAAAGGCAAATTCAGGAAGGGGAACACTATTTAAGGCCTTGAAGAGTCTTTTGAGGGTGGCAGTGAGGGGAAGTGGGTTCATTTTTCTGAGTTCATGTAAGCGTATGTGGTTGGGGATGCAAAGACCAATTCCAGTGCAGGAAGCTCATCACTGCCCAGGTTTCCCTGATTTCTGGGGAGCCCAAGGCACCTGTAGTAATTAGGCTTGAAGGGCCCATTCTTGTTGAGTCCCAGATACTTGGCCTGTTCATCTGTCAGCTCTGTCAAGTGGGCATCAAAGGTAGGCAGGTGTAGGCTGGCCACATACTCATCTGGAACAGACCACAGAAGCCCTGGTATAAGCATGCATGCCTTTTACCTGATGGCTGTTGTCCCCAAGCTAGGCCTTAAAAAGTTCAAAGACACCTTCTAATTCCTGGAGCTGAATGAAAAATGTTCAACCTTTGCTCACTGGTCCTCAATTCTATGGAACAGCTGCCTTCAGCTTCAAGCCTAGTGCTTTCCAAAGCCTTAACAATTTATCCTTACTAACTCTTTCAGCTTTGAACCCTGCCTTCCAGAAAAGTGCGGGAGAGATGAAAGAAACAACAGGCATCAAGATTTAAAAGAAGGAACAGGATAATATGGGAACTAAATAATGGGAAGCTCCAACTTTAGTTTTGCCTTGGACTCCATACGTTGGGTCATTTAAAACAATTAATGCCTGGGGAAACTTGAATGGAAAAACTAAGAAGGATACTCTCACAGGATAAATGGCATAAATGAACTGTTTGCTTTGCTTTTAGTACTCTTTAATTCTTACGGGTTTCTGTTCACATTCTATTATCTGACTACACAGTACTTATTCATAATCTTGTGTCATTTCCTGTGTATTTGTTTGGTCTCCCAACTTCATTACACATTCCATCAGAATATGGACTGTGCTGTTGCTTTTATATTCTTCTACAGTGTCTACTAAAGGGAAAATATATCAACTTTTAACAGTTGTTATATACCTAATGCTAAGGCAAAACAAAATCAGAAGCTGATTTATTACCTGATCTTTGCCTGAGGAGTTTATAAACACACTGTATCAGTTCAGGTGCTTGAGGCAGGCTCTTTAAAAATTTAAGACAGGTTAATGTTTCTCTTATACAAAACACCCACATAACTGAATAGCTCCTATTTCACATCTCTCCTTTGGCCTGAAGCATTGGGATTGGTGTTGGAAAGCATAGTAAGAAAGTCTTGTGTCATCTGAGAAAAGGCTGGTAGGGGCTATTTGGCAGCCTAGAATTGGAATAAGTCAGATGTCACAAGGTAGGAGATAATTCTTCTCTTTTAAGGGAAGATTTTTTTTTTTTTCCTTTGAGATTCCTACATAAAGATACTTTAAGAGAAAAAAAATCCTTAAAATTCACAGGCAGGTAAAATAAATCACAGCAAAATGTCACCACTTTGCAAGGGCAACACATGTCGAAAATGGGATAAATCAACTGGGAAAGGGATCTAGGAATCCTAACTCCTACTTTACAAAATGAAGGTACCTTCCCCGCCCCCATACTTAAGTAAGCTAATGCCCCCAAACTTCCTTTAGCCTCAGACTCTGAACTACTTTGGTAAGGATGGAGATGGAAGAGTAAATACTTACCCATTTTCTTGGGCAACAGGTAGACATCCTGCTTATAGCGACCCTCAGGAGCATTGTAAAGCTCTATCAAGGCAAGAGCCTAGAAAAGCAGAGAGATGGATGCTGATGTGCCATTCATGGCAATCTACCCAAGCAAGTGAAACCTGGTGGGTCTGAGAACCCTCTCCAGACTACTGCTGTCCCACTCTGGAAGCCTTACCTGAGTAGTAGCAGTGATTGAGAGCACAAATGTAGGCACTGTGGAGCAGCTTAGGTTCAGCAGGCGGCCCTAGTGATCAAAGATGAAGACACAAATGGATTAGGACAAAGTTGCTGGCCTTTGAGAAGTGAGGGAAGAGAAGCATGACCGCCATTTTCCAAACACTTCCCGACTAACACTGCTGGAAAAAAAGCAGCTGTTTAATATATAAGAACTAACTGACTGATATTTAAATGAAACCACTAAAATTCTGAAAAACCTGATGAAACTAATAGCTAAAAGATTTCTGGAATTATTTGAAAAGGAATACAGATGGTCATATGACACTGAGGCTTATGCCAAATATCAGTGTATTTCTCTTTAATTTTCCACTCTCTACAGCAAAATATCCTCCTTCTGAGGATCGGCATTCCTTTGACAGACTGTCTTGAAATAAACAATGATCAGTCAAATCCAGGGACAATCTCTCCAGGTTGTGAGGGGAGATATCTTTGGACTTAGGAAGTTGTGATGATTGACTGATTGATTTATTAGATGGAGTCTCCCTCTGTTGCCCAGGCTGGAGTTCAGTGGCATGATCTTGACTTACTGTAACCTCTGCCTCCTGGGTTCAAACGATTCTCCTGCCTCAGCCTCCAGAGTAGCCGGGATCACAGGCGTGTGCCACCATACCCAGCTAACTTTTGTATTTTTAATTTTATTTATTTATTTTTTTTTAGTAGAGACGGGGTTTCACCATAGCGGTGATGATTTTTGTGCTCCTCCTTCAGTTTGGTTCTCCTGAATTCAAAGACAGCCTTGTCAGCCTTGCATTTTGAGTTGGTGATTCAGATAGCAGAAGAACTAGAAACTGCCCCCAATGCCACCCTTTCCTATTTTATTTCCTATGAAGCCTGACTACCTTTTTGCTCAACCATGTAGCACAAAACACCCATGGTACTTGCTTTTGTCACCAAAATTACCAGGTGGGACCTCCTAGGGCAGCTAGAAATAAGTCATCAGTCAGCAGACTGACATCAAAGCTATTAATGCATATTTAGCAATCTGCCCATCTCCTCCTCATATACACTTCTTCCTTGTGAAGAAATAGTTCAGTCCCTTTATGAATGCCCTAAAGTATCTGAGAAGATGAGATAAATTGAAGAAAACGTGAAGAGAACAGTAAGGACACTAAAAACCCCTAACTTTTGGGCCCCTAGATAAAGACCATGTATCTTTTACATTTTCATATTCAGGTTCTTTAATATAAAAAAAGAAAGAAAAAAGACTGAAAATCAAAATTGAGAAAAGTATTATTATCTTCCTTGTTATTTTGGTATCTTTCTCTGATGAAGAGAAAGCTTCAAGGTAAGAATAGAAGGCATCATTATAGCTCTCAGGAATCCAGGACTAGGGAGGAGGAGCTTTTAAGAAAGGAAAAGGGGTCAAACATTGACATGGAAGCCAAGTAAAATGAAAGTCAATAGTGTCAATGTGAGTTAGGAGCTAGGATGAGGAAATATCAATTGAGCAATTGATATCTAGGTAGGTACCTACTACACATCTGGCTCAATTCAAGGCAATGGACATTCAAAAACAGGGAATCTATCAGTAAAAACATACATTCCCAGAGCTTGCCTGATAGTCCTGGTTACAGTAGGGAATATCTACTTTGTGCTTACTGATTAAAGCATCCCACAAATGACATTATCTCTTTGCACACATCACTTAAAGTGGCACTGGTTCTATTTGTGAATTCCTTCTACAGTAATAATCATTATCTGACTCAACCTGTAGATTGACATGGAGAGACGGGATAATTGGTGAAAAGTGGGGAACCAAAATAGTTTCTTAATTGCAGAATGAAAAGATCTTTCACAATTAGAAGTAAAATCCATTGGGAAAGTAGTCAAACTTGTGCTTCACAGAGGAGTTGAAAGTATGCGAGAACATGAGGAGGAAGGGACCTGGGTACTGCAGTCTCTCCTGTTGTGGGGGAGTATTTTTTGCCAGTCTCAGCCTTACCTCTGCCAGCAGTACTATCCTCTTGCCATCAGGCCATATCACATGGTCAACTTGAGATCTTACTCGCTCCCAGGTCAGCTCTGGTGTCCGCAGACTCGCCTGGAACACATACAGCAAGTACAGCATTAGCCATAGCAAGCCCCACTGTGGGGACAGAAAGATGTTGAAGGGAGCCATTTCAAATAGCAGGTTGAAAGGAGCAACCAACATGCCAGATGGAGAATACCTGTCCTGTGTTGGTTAGGACTGTTCCATTTCAGGGAATTTAATCTGAGGCCCAGCCAGGGAGGGATCACTCAGGATGTCATTCCACAACATATACTGTGTGCCCACTCTCACAGTAAAAGGTGCTATGGGAAATACAAAAGAAACCAAAGACATGGTTTCTGCCTTCAAAAAGCTTCTACTTTAGATGGGGACACAAAACAATACATATGTGAGAGGAAAAAAATGCCCTTAAAATACTTACAAAGCAACATGCAAACAAGTGCAAATTAATACAGTGCAAACTGAATATATAAGTGCTGAAGAAACACAGAAAAAAAAGGAGGAACACAGCTGAGTGGGTTTAGTAAGAGGCCAAATGTCCTAAACATAGCATGCTGGGGCCCAAGGTTCTGCCCTCATATCCCAAGGTCCCAGGTTCCACCTTTTCAATGATGGTGGTCCACCCTAGTTACAGAAGCTTTGTGACCTAAGTGCAAATGTGAGGTAGCCTTTAAAGAAATGCTTAATGGTAGAGTAAAGCTCCCAATGGCTCACCCTCCTTCCATTTCTGTATATTGTATATTCAGAGAAAATGAGAAAAAAATGTTATTTTTTTTAACAGCAGCAATCAAATAACAGCCACGGGGTATAGACTTAAGACAACACCTTCTTTCTTCCAATAGGCAATGCCTAAAATAGAAAGTGAGTTCATATTCCAAAACTACCCATTGGCTCATTTGATAAAATTAAGGAGTCCTGCCAAATAGTTTTCAGACAAATAAAGAGAAACGCTTTTAGTTATACAATAATGGTTTACAGGGTACATACCATATTCTAGGCATCGTAGTAAAGAGCATGAATATAGGTAAGACTGTGGATTCCTTTACTGGGCTGTGAACCATTTATGGACAAAGACAGTATCTTCTTTTCATTTTTGTATTTCAAGGTCTATTTAAGCAAACAATGGGATGCTAAGCTAAAGTTTAGAAATTCATGGTTCCTGTCCACGAGGAAGTACCAATCTAGTGGAAAAGACATATACAATTATATTTCAGTGCATTCAGAACTATATTAATGGTGTGGACCGTTTCTTTATTAGGTAGATGGGAAACACATATACTTTCTTGAAATGTCAAGTTTCATAAATTGGTTCAACCTTTCTAGAGGGCAATTTGGCAGCAGCTAGCAAAATTTTATATGTACCTAATCTTTGACCAATTAGTTTCACTTTTTTAGGTCACGATCCTATAAAAATACTTTCTCAAGTTCAGAAATACAAGTACCCAAGAATGTTCAAACCAGCCTTATTTATAATAGTGAAAAATGTAAACAAACAAGGGAATGGTTAAGTAAATCAGGGTAGTTCCATATAGTGGAATATTATACAACTCTTTTTAAAAAAAGGTACTACAGTAGGAAGCTCCAAAAAAAAAGATAGACATATATGTGCTAACATGAAAACCATTCACTATTCTTTTTTTTTTTTTTTTTAGATGGAGTCTCACTCTGTCACCCAGGCTGGAGTGCAATGGCATGATCTTGGCTCACTGCAACCTCTGCCTCCTGGGTTCAAGCTATTCTCCTGCCTCAGCCTCCCAAATAGCTGGGATTATAGGCACACGCCATCATGTCTGGCTAATTTTTGTATTTTTTAGTAGAGACGGGGTTTCGCCATGTTGGCCAGTCTGGTCTCAAACCCCTGACTTCAAGTGATCTGCCTGCCTCAGCCTCCCAAAGGGCTAGCATTACAGGCGTGAGCCACTGTGCCCAGCCCACTCACTATTAAGTGAAAAAAATCAAGTTGCAGAACAATATAGTGTAATATCAATTATGGAAGTTTTTGCTTATTTTAAGCATATTTCTGGTGTTTGCATTTTTAAACTAAGCAAGTATTACTTTAAAATTGGAATTTTAAAAAATAAATGTTATAAATAAATACTGTAAATATAAGGGTTAAAAAGAACTTAAGGGAAAGGCACAGTGGTTCACGCCTATAATCCCAACATTTTGGGAGGCCAAGGTGGGAAGATCCCTTGAGCCCAGGAGTTCAACACCAGCTTGGGCAACATAGTGAGACCTTGTCTCTACAAAAAACAAACAAACAAACAAACAAAAAAACACAATTAGCTGGGCATGTTGGCGTGTGCCTGCAATGTCAGCTACTTGGGAGGCTGAGGTGGGAGGAATGCTTGAGCCTGGGAAGTTGAGTCTGCAGTGAGCTGAGATTGTGCCACTGTATTCCAGTCTGGGCGGTAACAGAGTGAGACCCTGTCTCAAAAAAAAAAAAAAAGAATTTAAGCAAACAGACCATTTTGAGAAGTCAAGGATATACGAAGTAGAATCCATTAGCCTTTAGAGCTTAGTACCATGGAGGGTAATAACCACAAAGAGTCAAGAGATACTCTTGGTGACAATGGCAGTTTTTACTGAGATGACAGGAGTTTAAAGTATTTCAGGTTAGTATTTATTCAGTAAATACTTTATACAGGAGTATAAAGTATTTCAGGTTAGTATTCAGGTTAGTATTTCACACCCCTAATCTCCCAGAGGCCAAGCAATCCTGGTGATTAGGAGTGAAGAGCTAAAACCCATCTTAGGAAGTATTCCTTGGGAAGAAAGATATGGCAGAATCAAGGAAAGGACACTTCTTATGAACATAAGAAAATAACCAATGCTTAGTAGAGGCAGTTTACTAGAGCACTGGTATGGCTATGCTGTAGGTGAAAGTCTGACAGTAAGTTTAAAAAGAGGTTTGAAGAGAAACTTGGTTAACTTATCTCTATCACTGTCCAGGAAGCTCCAATAACCTGCCTATTAAGGCCTAGTCAGCAGTCACATTCCTCAAGAGCAAAGGGTTTCCTACCTTACGGCTGGCACAGCTTGACAGAATCTCTCAAAAACATCCAGTTGTCTTTGCTGTGGGCCTATAATCACTAAACAACCTACCAGGAAAAGGGATTCCTGTGCAGACTACCTCCCCAAACCAGGTGTACGTCCCACCATAAACTGGCCACTCATTATGCTTGCACAAATTGGTCTTACATAATTCTGAACAGTGCACATCTGTTTGTTTTGTTTTGTTTTGTTTTTTCAGGGAGAACAACTGTGGTTCTAGTCCTGTAAAGCACAAAGTCTCAGGTTAAATCATTCTTTGGCTGGAACAAATGTTTAAAGCCTATGTACTTAGTGGTTTGACCACCTGAATTGTGAAGCTTACAATTACACAGGCCTTCTATGTGATGCACATGGGTAAGCAGGTCTGCTTTTTTTTGAGATGGAGTCTCACTCCGTCACCCAGGCTGGAGTGCAGTGGCGCTATCTCGGCTCACTGCAACCTCCGCCTCCCGGGTTCAAGTGATTCTCCTGCCTCAGCCTCCTGAGTAGCTGGGACTACAGGTACACGGCACTACGCCTGGCTAATTTTTGTATTTTTAGTAGAGATGGCGTTTCACTATGTTGGTCAGGCTGGTCTCAAACTCCTGACCTCATGATCCACCTGCCTGGGCCTCCCAAAGTGTGGGATTCTAGGCATGAGCCACCACACCTGGCTGCAGGTCTGCTTTTAAGAGAAAGTAAACATACAAAAGAAAGATATGGCCAAAAGGCAGTGAAGAGCACAATCCCTATCCCAGGTCCTTCAATATTCACAGCATTCCTATTTCTCAGAAAAAATGCAGCTTTCTAAATGATCAACTCTTCTGATGAGCTGCTCCTTCCTAAATATGCAGCAGGCAACATCTCAAGGTTAGGTAAAACTATGAATTCCTACCAAAAAAGGAAAAAAACACTCTTTAAAAATTTTGATTACTAAAAATATCTGGATACTTACCAAAATCATTCTCCTACAGTTTCACTGAATTGACTGGTAATGATTTCCCTCTTTTTCTCACACTGTGCATCCAATCCATTTAGCAAATTCCATTGGTCACAACCTATCACTTCTTATCACCTCTACCACTTGCCCACGTAATCCAAGCCACCACTTTCTACAGTCAGAAATACTGAAAGAACCTGCTGTTATCCCTATCATTAGTCAAGCTCCAGGATGTTTTCTTCATACAAAAGCCAGAGTAATTTTCTTTTTAGAGACAGGATGTTACCATGTTGCCCAGGCTGACTTCTAACTTCCAGGCTCAAGCAATCCTCCCACCTCAGCCTCCTCAATAGCCGGGGACTACAGGCTGAGCCACCACACCTGGCTTCCAGAGTAATTTTTAAAAACCTAAGTCAGCTGGACGCAGTGGCTCATGCCTGTAATCCCAGCACTTTGGGAGGCCGAGGCTGGCGGATCATGAGGTCAGGAAATCGAGACCAGCCTGGCCAACATGGTGAAACCCCGACTCTATTTTTTTTTTTTTTTTTTGAGATGGAGTCTTGCTCTGTCACCCAGGCTGGAGTGCAGTGGCCCAATCTCAGCTCACTGCAAGCTCCGCCTCCCGGGTTCACGCCATTCTCCTGCCTCAGCCTCCTGAGTAGCTGGGACTACAGGCGCCCGCCACCTCGCCCGGCTAATTTTTTGTATTTTTAGTAGAGATGGGGTTTCACCATTCACAGGATGGTCTCGATCTCCTGACCTTGTGATCCGCCCGCCTTGGCCTCCTAAAGTGCTGGGATTACAGGCGTGAGCCACTGTGCCTGGCCAACCCTGACTCTATTAAAAACACAAAAAATTAGCCAGGCATGGTGGTGGGCACCTGTAGTCCCAGCTACTCAGGAGGCTGAGGCAAGAGAATTGCTTAAACCTGGGAGGCAGAGGTTGCAGTGAGCCAAGATTGCACCACTGCACTCCAGCCTGGGCAACAGAGCGAGACTCTGTCTCAAACAAACAAATAAATAAATAAATACATAAATAAATAAAAACCTAAATCAGATTTTGTCACTCATCTATTCAAAACCTCCCAATGGCTTCTTTCAGAATAAAATCTAAAGTCCTTAACATGACCTGTGAAGCTCTACATAGCCTATACCTCCTTGAGTTAACTCTTCTCCTTACCCCCTTGACCAATGTTCCTGACACAGTGGCTTCTTTTCTTTTCCTCAAACACATCAAGCAGGTGTCTCCCTCAGGGTCTTTTACCTGCCATTCTCTCTGAACAGAATGCTCAGATGGCTTGCTCCTTTATTTTACTCAGGTTTTCTAAAGTGTTATCTCCTCAAAGACTTCCTTGACTACCTAACTAAAATGGAATCCCCAATATCCTTACCTTGTTATTTTTCTTCAATACTAAGCACTAACAATAACGATCTATTTCTTTATTATTTGTCTCCCACACTAGAATATATGCTCCCTGAGAGACGGGATACTGTTCACTGTCATTTGTTTAGTAAATTGGTATCTGGCACAGAGCAGAGCAGGTATTCAATATAAATTTGCTAAACACTGAATAAAAATTCTGGTTTCAATTACTAGTTGAGTTTGGTATTTCCTTGAATTTCATTTTACATGCCCTGTGACACTATCACCAAAGGCTGAATAATTTAACTTTTCAAAAGTTCCTCTGAGCATCTCCTTTTCTGGACCATTTGCCTTAGCTATGTATCTTCTGCCAAGAAGAACACAAAGAGAAGTGAGAGATGGCCCTTAGCTCATGTGACTGGCAGATATGGGAGCCACCTGGTAATACCTGCAAAACTTGGTCTAGTCTCAACACAGCAACCAGGGCAATCCTTTTAAAATAAAAGCCATCCTTTAAAAATGTAAGTCAGATTATAAACCCTCAACAGCTCCCTAGTCTCTCAGGATATAATCAGGAGTTCTCACAATGGGCTATGAGGCCCTCTAAGATCTGGCCTGTTACCCCTCTGACCTCATCTTCCACTGTTCCTTGTCCTATGCTCAATCTCTTCCAAGCACACTGGCCTCCTTGTTGTTCCTCAAACACACGAGGCACACTCCTGCCTGAGGACATGTGTACTGGCCTTTCTCTCTTCTTCAAATGCCATTTACCTAAAAACCCACATGGCAAATTCCTTCAAGTCTGCCTCAAACATCATCTTTTTTTAAAAAATTTTTTTTGCCAGTGTCAGGGTCTTACTCTGTCACCTAGGCTGGAGTGCACTGGCACAATTTTGGCTCACTGCAACCTCTGCCTCCCAGGCTCCAGTGATTCTGCCTCAGCCTCCCAAATAGCTGGTACTACAGGTGCAAGCCACCACACCCAACTAATTTTTTTTTTTATTATTTTTTGTAGCGATGAGGTCTCACTATGTTGCCTAGGCTGGTCTTGAACTCCTGGGCTCAAGTAATCATCCTGCCTTGGCCTCCCAAAGTGCTGGGATTAGGGTGTGAGCCACCACATATGGTCTCAAACATCATATTAATTTTCTTTTTTTTTTTTTTTGAGATGGAGTTTCACTCGTCACCCAGGCTGGAGTGCAATGGTGCTATCTCGGCTCACTGCAACCTCTGCCTCTCAGGTTCAAGCAATTTTCCTTCCTCAGCCTCCTGAGTAGCTGGGATTACAGGCACCCGCCACCATGCCCGGCTAATTTTTTTGTATTTTTAGTAGAGACAGGGTTTCACCATGTTGGCCAGGCTTATCTTGAAGTCCTGACCTCAGGTGATCCACCCGTCATGGCCTCCCAAAGTGCTGGGATTACAGGTGTGAGCCACTGCGCTCGGCCCATCATATTCTTAATAACGGTCACAGCTTGATCTATTTCAAATTATAATCCAGTGCTCAATTCTCCCACCATGCTCTACTTTTTCTTTTTTCTGTGGTGCTTTTGCCTTCTAACATACTATAAATTTTACATATTTATTATGTTTATTGTTTTTCTTATCACTAAGACATAAGCTCCATGAGGGCAGAAATATTTGCTTGTTTTGTTCAGTGACTCCAAGCATTTACAAGAACACCTGGCATACAGCAATCATACAAAAAATATTTGTAATTGAAGGTGAAGAGTCTTCTGGTCTTTATCCTGGGAGGTTACTTATGTCTGGGCTGCCTCTGAAGGAGAGATTACCATCATGATTTGAAGTTAATCCACAAGTCATGAGGAGATAATAAATATAACACACAGGAAAACAAAACAAAGAAAACTAGACCAGGCATAAAAAAACCCCTGGATTTTGTGCAATGGTTTATTTTTTCTTTCTTTCTTTCTTTTTTTCCTTTTAGAGATGGAGTTTCACTCTTGTTGCCTAGCCTGGAGTGCAATGGCGCGATCTCGGCTCACTGTAACCTCAGCCTCCTGGGTTCCAGCAATTCTCCTGCCTCAGCCTCCGGAGTAGCTGGGATTACAGTTGCACACTGCCAAGCCCAACTAATCTCAGTATTTTTAGTAGAGACGGGGTTTCATCACGTTGGCCAGGCTGGTACTACAGGTGCAAGCCACCACACCCAACTAATTTTGTTTTTTTTAATTTTTTGTAAAGATGAAGTCTCACTATGTTGCCTAGACTGGTCTCGAACTTCTGGGCTCAAGTAATCATCCCACCTTGGCCTCCCAAAGTGCTGGGATTACAGGTGTGAGCCACCACACATGGTTTCAAACATCACATTCTTTTTCTTTTTCTTTTTTTTCTTTTTTTGAGATGGAGTTTTGAACTCCTGACCTCAGGTGATCAATCTGCCTCAGCCTCCCAAAGTGCTGGGATTACAGGTGTAAGCCATCGTGCCCGGCCTGTGCACCGGTTTCATTTTGAATCAATTACATGCCTGACAAGGTAGTTAACTTCTTAGTTTCCCAACTGAAAATTAAGAATAAGAATAATGCCTCATGGAGTGGTCAAAAAGATGAAATGAGATGAAGTAAAAATACAAAAGGTACATGTCTGCATTTGGAGTTATTTTTATTTCAGAGCTTCTTGAGGGTTTAGAAAGGAAAATTCCTTCCCCTTCCCTTCCTCTGAAGATTTCCCATTAGGGCCCAGGGCATGACATCAATACTTCCCTTTAGGCCTTTCCCCTTTGGGGGCTCTAGAAGCAAAGTCATCCAGGAAATGAGAATCATTTGCTGGATAGTTTTAGAAATACTAATATCCTTGATCACTCAGCAAAGAGGCAGTATGGCAGCAAAGAGGCAGTATGGCACATAAATGAAACTTAAACAAAAGAAAAATAAAGAACCAACTACCAGCTAAATTGTTCATTGTAAGCAAAATATCATGGTAAGAGAAAGTAATAAGGCCATACCACTCAGACACCCCAGGGTAGACAGAAGCTTTGGTAGGTTGTTCTGCCAGCTATTTTTTTTTTTTTTTAAGACGGAATCTCGCTCTGTCGCCCAGGCTGGAGTGCAGTGGCCGGATCTCAGCTCATTGCAAGCTCCGCCTCCCGGGTTCACGCCATTCTCCTGCCTCAGCCTCCTGAGTAGCTGGGACTACAGGCGCCCGCCACCTCGCCCTGCTAGTGTTTTTGTATTTTTTTTTTAGTGGAGACGGGGTTTCACCGTGTTAGCCAGGATGGTCTCGATCTCTTGACCTTGTGATCCGCCTGTCTCGGCCTCCCAAAGTGCTGGGATTACAGGCTTGAGCCACCGCGCCCGGCCCTGCCAGCTATTTTTAATAATGGAAGAACAGAGCACAGAATTTAAAAGGGAAACCATGTATAATAAATTTTATCCAATAAGCTCTCAGTCCATCAGCTGGTCCTTACCTGGTAATGCTGAAGCTCAATCAGAGCAGCCCTCAGTAGAGATGAAAGTATGCTTTGCTTGAGCCAGTTACCCAGAGAGAAATACAGGTGTGCCACAAAAATGCCAGAAAAATTTAAAACCAGAGTAAAAGTCACACTGAGAGATACTTTGGTAAATCTGAAAATAAACAACACTTGGCTGGGTGAGGTGGCTCACACCTGTAATCCCAGCACTTTGGGAGGCTGAGGTCAGCAGATCACAAGGTCAGGCGTTTGAGACCAGCCTATCCAATATGGTGAAACGCTGCCTCTACTAAAAACATAAAAATTAGCCAGGTGTGGTAGCGGGCGCCTATAGTACCAGCTATGCTGGTGGCTGAGAAAGGAGAATCACTTGAACCCAGGAGGCAGAGGCTGCAGTGAGCCAAGACCGTGCCACTGCACTCCAGCCTGGACGACAGAGCGAGACTCCGTCTCAAAAAAAAAAAAAAAAGGAAAAAGAAAAAACACTTCTATTAACTATTACTTGGGCAACTTATTAGTACCAAGTGCTATTTTGGATTGGAAAATTATAGGGTGAATATAACCAAATTAGAGAATCAAAGTGATATATTTTCCAGGTTTGAAGAATACATGCTACTACACAACGGCACTGGATTGATTATGACACCTGCAGACACAATTACTACAGTTTGAAAAACATGTGAGGGGTGACCTCACCCAGTAAAAGAGAGGGATAAAAGAAGAAACCACAGTATTTGATACACACAGTCAATCCTAAGCAACAGAATCATCCCAGCCCATAGATTTCTCTCCCTTATTTCCTTGGACCAACCTACTTATCTCATCTTTATGGTAAAACCAAACACCCCCAAAATACTGACTACCATACTGATTCACATTCATTGTATCACTTAGCTTTGAGTTTGTATCATTCATTGTAGTTTTGAGTTTATCTTGCTCTCAATCCTAAACATAGAGATAAGGCTTACAGTGTAAACAGGCATCGAGCTTGAATAGAAGATGACAATCATTTAAAATTATTAAATTGAGATGAAGAAACTTTATAGTCTCCACAAATACAGGCTATAGGGCTAGTAAATGAAAAGATGTGGACAACTCTGCCAGGACAGTCATGTTTAGGATGGCTTGTGACACTGCTCTCTCATTTTCCAGTTTGTTTCTTGTGAAGGAGAGAAAAAAGCCCCCAATAATGAGCCACTTGATCTTACCACGTCAATCTCTGTGTTGGAATGTCCCATGTTACAAACGATGCAGCTATTCTTCATACGGTCCAAGTGCTCTCTGGTTACCACATTCTTGTTACCTTAAAAACAGAAGAGAGGTTTGAGTGCTCACTGTCTTTTGGTGGCAGCAGAGAAAGATAATCCACAGAATGAGAAAATAAATGTGCAAATCATATAACTGATAAGGGACTTGTTATAAGGAATTCTTACAACCCAATAAGAAGAAGACAATTTAAAAATAAGCAGGCCAGGCCGGGCGCGGTGGCTCATACCTGTAATCCCAGCACTTTGGGAGGCCGAGGTGGGCGGGTCACGAGGTCAGGAGATTGAGACCATCCTGGCTAACATGGTGAAGCCCCATCTCTACTAAATATACAAAAATTTAGCTGGGCATGGTGGCGGGTGCCTTTAGTCCCAGCTATTCAGGAGGCTGAGGCAGGAGAATGGCGTGAACCTGGGAGGTGGAGCTTGCGGTGAGCCGAGATCGCGCCACCGCACTCCAGCCTGGGCGACAGAGCAAGACTCTGTCTCAAAAAAAAGCAGGCCAGCCATGCTCACTCATGCCTGTTATCCCAGCACTTTGGGAGGCTGAGGTGGCAGAATCAATAACTTGAGCCCTGGAGTTTGAGACTAGCCTGGGCAACATGGCAAAGCCCTATTTCTACAAAAAAATACAAAAATAAGCTGGGTGTGGTGGCATGTGCCTGTAGTCCCAGCTACTAGGGAGGCTAAGGTGGGAGGATCGATTGAGCTCCATAGGTCAAGGCTGCAGTGAGCTGTGATTGCACCACTACACTGTAGCCTGGGTGACAGAGTGAGACCCTGTCTCCAAAAGAAAAAAAAGAAAAGGCTCTGAATCGACATTTCTTCAGAGAAGATGTACAAATGGCCAATAAATATATGAAAAGATGCTCAACATCATTAGTTATTAGGGAAATGGAAATCAAAACCACAATGAGATGCCACTTTACGTTCATTAGGATGGCAATATCAAAAAGAATGGCAATAACAAGTGTTGGTGAAGATATGGAGAAATTAGAAGGCACATGTATTGTTGGTGGGATTGTAAAATGGTGCAGTCACTTTCAAAAAATTTGCCAATTCCAACCAGGCGTGGTGGCTCATGCCTATAATCCTAACACTGGGAGGCTGAGGGGTGGATTGCCTGAGCTCAGGAGTTCGAGACCAGCCTGGGCAACATGGTGAAACCCTGTCTCTACTAAAATACAAAAAATTAGCCGGGTGTGGTGGTGTGTGCTTGTAGTCCCAGCTACTTGGGACCACACACCCGGCTAATTTTTGTATTTTTTTTGGTAGAGACAGAGTTTTGCCATGTTGCCCAGGATGGTCTGAACTCCTGGGCTCAAGTGATCTGCCTGCTTAGGCCTTCCAAAGTGCTGGGATTACAGGTGTGAGCCACCACACCCAGCCTGAAAATGTTAAAAACAGAGTTACTATATGATCTAGCAATTCTACTCTTAGTATATACCCAAGGGAACTGAAAATATATGTCCACATAAAAACTTGTATTCAATGTTCATAGCAGCATTATTCCTAATAGCCAAAAAGGGAAAACAACCCAAATGTCTACCAGTTAATGAACAGATAAATAAAATATGGTATAACCATACAATAACACATTACTCAGCAAGAAAAGGAATAAGGTACTGCTATATACCATCACATGGGGAGGCCCTGAAAACATCCTGCTATGAGGCTGGTCACAAAAGACCACATATTGAATGATTCCTTTTTTTTTGAGAAGGAGTTTCACTCTTGTTGCCCAGGCTGGAGTACAATGGCATAATCTCAGCTCACTGCAACCTCCGCCTTCTGGGTTCAAGCAGTTCTCCTGCCTCACACTCCTGTAGCTGAGACTACAGGTGCCTGCCACCACATCTGGCTAATTTTTTGTATTTTTAGTAGAGATGGGGTTTCACCATGTTGGCCAGGCTGGTCTCGAACTCCTGACCTCAGGTGATCCACCTGCCTCGGCCTCCCAAAGTGCTGGGATTACAGGTGTGAGCCACCGTGCCCAGCCATGAATGATTCCTTTTTAAAAAAAATTATTATTTTTTCCCCTTCTTTTTGCAGGTGTTGCTATAATTCCATTTACATGAAATGTCCAGAATAGGGAAATGGTGGTTGCCTAGGGCTGGGGTATGATGGAGAATGGAATAAGGAGCGACTGCTAATGATATGGGGTTTCTTTTTGGGGTGATAAAAATTTGATAATTGGGATGTTCCACAACTTTACTAAAAGCCATTGAACTGTACACTTTAAAAGGGTGAACATTACGATGTGAATTACAACTCAGTAAAAACATTAGATTGTGGTGATAGTTGTACAAACTCTGTGAATTACTAAAAAACAGTGAACACTTTAAATGTGTGAAACGTGTAGTAAATCAATTACAGCTCACAAAAAAGCAATAAAAAAAAAAGGTCCAGGCTGGGCAGGGTGGCCTATGCCTATAATCCCATCACTTTGGGAAGCAGAGGTGGGAGAATCACCTGAGGCCAGGAGTTTGAGACCAGCCTGGAGAGTGAGACCTCATCTCTATTTAAAACAACAAAAGAGATCAGGGGATTGATAAGAACCAAGAACAGCTTCTTATGGTCCCTCTTCTCTGCCCCTATTTCTCCCTGAGGCTACAACTACAAATTTTTTTTTTTATTCTGTTCGATTTCCCCCTCTAAAATAGAATTATAAAAGAAAACCAGTGTTCCTGTAGTTTATGGTTCTACATAAAAATAAGTATCTTATCCTAAAGGAAACCAGCCATTTCTGCATATTCTTTAAAACTCAAAATCTACCTCTTTGGGAATTAACAGAATAACCTCTTCTACTTTCTCTAACTATGAAAGAATTTCTTTCTAGCCTTGCCTTAATTACATACTAGAGAGAAACATACATCACTTTTGGAGGTAAAATAAAAAATCAAGTGTACATTTAAGATCTGGCTTCTCAAATAAAACTTTATAACTGAATCTCATCTCTAGCTATCTCCTAGGATGAATGGAGATATAACAGTTGTCTTAAAGTGTGAAGAAAAACGTTTTTACATAGGAATGACCTAATCGTATACCTCTGGTCAGAGCTCTAAAGAATTAGGAAGAATATGAAAGACTGATTGGCTTTGTGGGCTACTATCTCTCTCTAGCTTTTAGAGTTTGGTTTTTCAGAATATTTCCAATCATCTTGCACTTGCTCCATAAAAACATTCCCAAGTGCCACCCCATTTAAAATGTCATTATCATACCTGTACAGGTAATAACAATGTCCACTTGTCGGATGACCTCATTTAATTTCACCAGTCGAAATCCATCCATACTGTTGAAATAAAGCATGACCAATTAACCTAAACAGGCAGCTGGGGAGCCTTTTAACACAGGACTTCAAAAGCTAATATCAAGTTGCTGTCATTTCTTGAGATAGTTGAACTATTCTTAGAAGTGAAAAATCCAAACAATTTCCTTAGTTCATACAAGACAGAAATAAAAGGTTCCTCTGCATCATGAGACTTATTTCTTCCTGATAATAGGGAGCCAGGGGCTACCATGAGATTCCCTGACCGAATTTCCAGAAACTGTAGAAAGTGCCACTTAGCTATTTAACCAACTACCCCCTTGAAAGTGCTCTCTCCAAGATCATCAGTGATTTCCCGAAGGCCAAACCCAAGATTTCTTAGACTCTTAACTGTTTGTTTGTTTTTAGAAATGGGATCTCACCATGATGACCAGGCTGGAGTGCAGTAGCTAGTCACAGGCATAATCATAGTGCACTACAGCCTCTAACTCTTGGCCTCAAGCAATCCTCCTGCCTCAGCCTCCTGAGTAGCCAGGACTGTTGGCATACACCACCATGCCCAACTTCTTAGATTCTTACATTATTTGATTTCTTCTACTACATTAAACATTATTTGCCTTCTTAAAACTCTATACCCCTTGGACTCCATGATACATCTCTCCTGGTTTTCCTCTTACTTCTCTTAATTGTCTCTCCTCAACTTCAGCCAACCTTTGGATATTGGTGCTCTGCAGGGTTATGCCTTTATTCTGTTCTCTATTCTTTCAGTATAGAGAACCATATTCTTCCCTTGACTGCAAATGACTGCTTATAGATGCCTGATTTTTACATTTGTATCTTCAGCTTAGATCTCTCTGAAGCTTCATAGCCAAGGATCAAATTAGCCACTGGATAGCACCTCATGAATGTCCCAGAAGGATCTCAAACTTACTGTGTTTGAAAATAAACTTATTATTTTCTCTGCACTCACAACTTCATTTATTTCTTCTTCTATATTTTCTATCTTGATCAATAGCATCACTGTTCATCCATCTGAATGAGCCATATAAACAAGAATGTCCTTGCTGCCTCTCCCTAATTGAAGTTGTCACCAAATCAGGCTGAGTCTTTTTCTTTAATTCCTTAAAAGTCTCTTTCATCTGTCTTCTCTTCTCTAATACATACTGGCCTTGCTTAAGTTTAGGTCTTACTCCTTCTTGCCTAAATTACTATAGTAACCCCTGGCACAATCTCATTGCCTCTAGGTTTACATCTTTCTAAATCATTTTGCAGAGTGATTTTCCTAAATGCAATTTGGATCATGTCATTTCCTTGCTTAAAATACTTCAGTGAGACTGCCTATTCTTAAGGATAAGGCAGGATTAGAATAAGACCCAAATACTTGCAGTAATATGTGATTATATTGACATATGACTCCCATGACTGCGACCTTAGATAGCACCACTCCCCCAAATGTATCCCATCTGCCAACCACATTAAAATATTTCCAGCTTCTTAAATCTGCCATGCTATCTCCTTCCTTGGAGACAATACACATGTTCCCTGTACCTGGAATATACTTCCAAACTAAGAAAACACCTAAACAAATGTCAAGACTCTGCTCTGCTGACATCTCTTTCTACCCTGCTCCCTTGCTTCTTAGTAAGCAATTTCTCCTTTATGCTCCTACAGAAGCATGTGCCGTTTAACTCCATGACAGCACTTACTTCACTGCACAGTGGTTATTTGTCTGTGTGCTTCTAACAGCCGGACCTTATCTCATTTATACATTCATCTTATTCATTCTCAGCACGTAGCACAGTATCTAATGTATAGTAAGTGATCAATTCAGGTCTATAGGATAATCTGAACAGTATCACAATTTGTATTAAAACATGTTCAGGTTCCTATAATAAACCCTTAGTGTATTAGAAGGATGATGGTTCCCCTAGGCCACAGACACTTGGACTCTGCAATAGTTTTTAAGAACAGTGGTATTTCCCACCCTGCTGAGGATGGCAAGAGACAATTTTAATAACAGCTATCATTTAGTGAGCATATATTATGTGGCAGCAGCTCTGTACCTTATATAATTATGTATTTGTTATATAATATATAATACAGAATGATAATTATTATTTTGAGACAGGGTCTTGCTGGGTAACCCAGGCTGGAGGGTAGTGGCATAATCACAACTCACTGCAGCCTCAACCTCCCAGGCTTAGGTGATCCTCCTACTTCAGCCTCCCAAGTAGCTGGGACCACAGGCATGCACCACCACACCCAGCTAATTTTAAAAAATTATTTGTAGAGATGGGGTCTCCCTATGTTGCCAAGGCTGGTCTCGAACTCCTGGGTGCAGGCAATCCTCCTGCCTCAGCCTCCCAAAGTGCTGGGATTACCGGCATGAACCCATCACACCCAGCCTATGTTAATGATTATTTTACTGAACTCTCACAATCCTATGAGGTAGGTATGATTACCCACATTTTATAATAAGAAAAGAACTATTCTTCTTTTTAACTTTTAATTTTAGAATCATTTCAAACTTAAGAATTATAATACTAGTGTCAATAATTCTCATATACCCTTCACTCAGAGTTAGTAGATTCTATCCTTAATTGGGATTGGTCTAATGTTTCCTCACAATTAGATTCAGGTTATACATTTTTGGGAGGAATACCACAGGAGGACTATTTTCAGTGTAACACATCAGAAGGCATCTGATGCCTGCCAATTTCTTTTCTGATCATTATTTGAAAGCCAAGTATTACACATGGAGAAAGTAAGGGGCTACTTGTTCTCTGGCTGACAGAATCCCTGTTACTATCTCCACAGGATTTCTAAATTTTCACTTTTCTGATAGTCTCTGCTCTCTCCAAGCAGAGCTCCTTGATCTTTTTGAAAGGCAGATGCTTAGAGTTAGTAGCAGCCTCTCCGAGGATCTGGGCTCCTCTAAAATAAAGTGTGGCATCAACCAGGCCATTCTTTGGAGACAGCTCCAAGATTGCAAGTGAGATGGTAGTGTAGAGGCTTACCAGGCTTGCAGGGCACAGATGGGGTCAATTTCAGTTACATACACAATGGAGCCCATGGCTTTCAGGGCAGCACAGCACCCTTTCCCCACCTGAAGAGGGGAGAGAGCACACATATTAAGGAAAGTCACCGAGAAAACCATTTCTCAAAGCTTCTGGGAAAGTGCACCCCCTCTTTCCACCCCCGGGAGGAATTTCACTGAATAGATTCATACTTGGGGAAAACAAGAAGAACAAATAATTGAATACAGCTCATAAACAAACCCCTGGCTCCTGCTTATCGCATTCATGTGCACAAGAACACCCACACTCACGATTCATAATCAAAACACAAGCTAAAAAGAACATCACAAACGGTGGTACTGGAGCAAGTCAGAAAATCAACTTAAGGAAAAATGGCGGCAATGCAAAGGGAAAAAGAAAGACTACTTTAACCAGAGGGCCTCTGAAGTTCTTTTTCTCATCTAAAGTGGTAACGAGTGTACTCATATGTCCATACAAATAAAAAATTCCAGAATATTTCAACAAAATCCATTTAAAACACCTAATAAATGAAAGGTTAAACATCACCTCTCCATAGCCACAGACTACCACTTGCTTTCCACCAAACATCATGTCTGTTGTCCTTTTAAGTCTAGGGGAAAAAACACATTAAATCAGAAAAATCTCTTGTTTCTGCCTTGAGGTTAGATTGAATCTCTTTGTTTTCATGGGGTTTTTTGGTTGGTTTGTTTTTCATTTTGAAAGAAAGTCTGGTTTCTTTTTTTTTTTTTAAAGGGGTTTTCTGGTCTTCACCAGAAAATTTGCTAGACAAATTCTAAAAGAGCTGTAACACTGAAAGTCTGATTTCTATCCTAGAGAAACTAATGACCAGAAAGAAAGGTTGAATAAAATACATATTTTCTCACTCCCTGCCATCCAACCAATCCTATATGTAAGGGTTTTTTTCCTTTTTTTCCCCCCTTCTTGCAAGTGGTGCAGAAAGGAAGAAGATGTAGATAACATAGTAATTTTTAAGCATAAAAGCAACATACATTTATTAGATAATGTTTTGAAAATATAATATTTAGAAACAGAAAAGATACAAAGGAGAAAATAAAAATAATGTAATTTTAATTTACGAGGTGACAAAGCTCTGGCTTAATGGAGACATTATCCAGAGGTGCTACATGAATCCTTTCCAGAAATAACCAAAGCCAAAAAATTTCGAATCTCAACTTGACAACACAAGTTCATCTCAAAGATAATAAACAATACCCATCAAGAATTGATTCACGGCAACAGTAGAGGTTGTCAAATTTCTGTTTGGTGACTGAGTCATTGACATTCATGGCTGGAACACACAGCTTCCCAGCTTTGGACAGTTGGTACAGCCTGAGGATGAGGGAAGCCAAGAACAAAAAACATCGGAACGTTACAATCTACCATTGCTTTCATAGCAGGCCCCAGAAACACGATGATTGGGTAGGCATGAGAGCGTGAGACATGACTAGTTTCATCCTATTAGGTGGCCACTGAGAAACAAAGAATATCTTTCTAGAGCCTGCATATACAGCTTCACAATAAAGATTTTATTCAAAAGTCATGTGGGGAAAATCCTTGACCCATCTTTAAATTTTAAGGCCTTCACTGGAGACTATAAAAAGTGGGTGAGTGGGAGCGGGTTGAAGCTTGAAAAATTACCTACTGGGTACAATGTTCACTAAATCTGCACTGGTCTCACTGCCTGCCAGAACTACAAGTACATGAGACTACACCTGGCTGTTTGTGTTTTGTTTGTTTTGAGATGGAGTTTCACTCTTGTTGTCCCTGCTGGAGAGCAATGGTGTGATCTCGGTTCACTGCAACCTCCGCCTCCTGGGTTCAAGCGATTCTCTTGCCTCAGCCTCCTGAGTAGCTGGGATTACAGGCATCTGCCACCATGCCCAGCTAATTTTGTATTTTTAGTAGAGATGGGGTTTCTCCATGTTGGTCAGGCTGGTCTCAAACTCCCGACCTCAGGTGATCCACCTGCCTCAGCCTCCCAAAGCGCTGGGATTACAGGGGTGAGTCACTGCACCCAGCCTTCCAGCATTTTTTCTTTTTTTTAATAGAGACAGGGTCTCACTGTGTTGCCCAGGCTGGTCTCAAACTCCTAGACTCAAGTGATCCTCCCATCTTGGCCTCCCAAAGTGCTGGGTTACAGGCATGAGCCACTATGCCCAGCTTAAACTGTGTATTAATTTCACTCATCTTTTTAATTATAAAAGGAGTAACTTTAAGTACTACTTTAAAAACCATGCTTAATCCCACTAATCTACTGCAACAATTTTAACTTTCAAATACACTCACAATTTGTTTTTTGTTTTTTTTTTTTGAGACGGAGCCTCACTCTGTCACCCTGGCTGGAGTGCAGCGGCATGATCTCAGCTCACTGCAACCTCTGCCTCCCGGGTTCAAGCAATTTTTGTGCCTCAGCCTCCTGAGTAGCTGGGACTACAGGTGCGCGCCACCACACTTGGGTAATTTTTGTATTTAATAGAGACGGGGTTTCACCATGTTGGCCAGGCTAGTCTTGAATTCCTGACCTGTTTTGTACATTCAAAAAGATGATAATGTATTGAAGCAGTGACGGTGGCTGGTTCAGAATTTACTTCCCTAAAACTTTTTTTTCATCCTTTTAGTTCTTTATGGGTGAAATAAATCATAGAAATGATCACAGAAATTGAACTGAAATAATTCCAATTTTACTCAGAGAATTATTGCTCACTTGAGAAGCAGAACCCTATATGTCCTTGCTTTCCATGTAAGAATGTAAGCTCTAAGATGGCAGAGTTTTTTTTGTCTGTTTTGTCTACTGCTAGATTCCTAGCACCTAGAGCAGTTCCTCGTTCATTGTAGAAGTTCAATAAATATTTGTTGAATGAATGAATAAATGTGTCCAAAAAGGACAAGAAGTAATTGTTTACAATCACTAGAAAATGTGAGGACTTCACTTGTTCTCCCACCTGCCCCCTTCTCACTATTTTAGGTTCATTATTTGTGTTGTTAATTTAAAAAAAAAAACAAGAGAGATCTGGTCACCTCAAAGCAAGCTGAGATCTGATCACCTCACAGCAAGTTGAAATGTCGTTACCTCATAGCAGGCTCCAATTTTTAACACGTGTTTTATAGGTATGTGTTTATAAGACTTTATGTCTAGACTGCATAAAACCAGGTATGCCCATGTCAAATCTTACCTATGAACTCCAGTAACACTCTCCTCTACTATGCCCTTGATTTTCTTAAACATGTTGGGATACTTTTTATAAATCCAGTGGGTAAGATCCCCTCCATCATCCAAGATCTGCAATAGTAAGCATCAATAACATCATTCACTTTGCTGAAGCCTCAAGGCTTCAGTGCTTCTCTGGGTCTTGCATCCCAATCTAATTAGCAATTTACAGATATTTAAAATTTCCCATATGGTTATGCAAAGTAACTTAAAGCCAGAGTAAATGCAATAATCTGCCAAATAGTCATTATATTGAACTAAAAGACAATGAGAGGAGAAAGGCCAATTTTAATTCGCACAGCCAAACAACCCTCCCTATGATATATCTACTGCATCAAAATATACAGCAACTAACTGAGGCTTTTCTTATGGATTGATAACTTGTGGTTATCTAGGCCACTAGATCTTGAATCTACTATAGGTATTCAGAAAGCCTAAATGGACTTTAAATATATTCAGTCAAGACTTAGTTTAAATAAGAGGCCTCAGTTTACACAGCCTCTTAAGAAAAAAAGAAAAATCAATCAATAAATGGTCAGATAATTAAGTCTCCCTCTCGGAACAATGGCTTATAAAACTGTATTCCATTAACCTTCTCTTCTCCCAAAGTATAGGCACTCTCCCACCCAAAATATCAGGCAGCACTGTAGGGTTTTTGCCTAGCACAACCTCACACTCTGTAGAAACCAAATTAAAAATAACCAGGGAACCGTGCAGCATGTAGGTGTGCAAGCATGCTTCTGAACAGCTCATCTATCACTATTTCAGGTTGGGATTAAAGATAAACACAGTGCTGTGCCCACTGGAACTTTCATCAGCAGAGAAAAGCTTTTGAATTATAAAGATAAAGAAAAACCAGCTTAGAACACTATCAGGCACGAGGCTATGATACTTCAGTCCTTCGCTAGGCTGTCAGAAGTGTTTAGCAGGACTCTGCAAATTGTTATACCCACCCTCCTGGAAAGTCCCACAGAACTGGGTTGCCCTCTGCTGACATGCACCCATCTTGCAGTCCCATCAATTATCAACTCTGCTGTAAGTGCCAAAACTGCCATTCTGGACCCCAGAGTACACAAAATCCCCAACCTCATGTCTACTACCTGATCTCTTTTTCTCTTTTGCTCTTGCTGTTGACCTATTTTCTCTCCCTCACTCAAACATTGCTTGAGAACCAGAATTCAAGTTAGGACTCTCATCAAAGCTTTTGTACTTGCTCCATACTACAAGTAGAAACCCCCAGAACAGATGCCCCAAGAAAGCAAAAGGCTCTTCTGAGTTTCTCTCTCCCATTCTCCATGTATGGAATCCCTCATGAAGTTTTCCCTTCTACAGAAAAGATAAGAGACAAGAGAGATTGAACAACTGGAAACTCTGTGTTGTAAGTCTCACTATTCTCATCCACTTTTCCCTTTTAAGGAAGATATGACACAGACAGGTAGTTGCTGCCTCTAAGATTTACTTAATGAACTCTGCCCATAATTCTCACCATGTAAATCTACTGCAGGAAATTCTTGTCATCAGGAAATCTTCCCAAGGGTGGGAAGTAAGGAAAAGTACTAAATCTTGACAGAATCTAAAGAGGTATGGGTCTTGTTTTCTGGGCTGACAACTGTTTTTGTCCTTGTCTTACTCTCTTTATTAACCTTCCTAGCAGTTTGTGCTGGTTCTACAGTTTGTAATGTTCTCCAGGTAAATCCTAATGTCCTCCCTGGGTTCCTGACTTTAAAAATCAATGTTTTATTCCCAGGAGAAACTCCCTGGCATATCTGCTTTAGCAACTGTCAGTCACACTCCCTCGTGTCACTATTAAAACTGTTGGAACGAGCTGACTCATCTTACAGCCACTGTCAACTCTGCTCCCCCACCCCTTTAGGATATGAAGGCTCTAACCCAGCTTCCTCAAACAAGCCTGGTGCAGTGTGACCTGGATCACAGAATTCAGAAAGAAGCTACTTCTCTGCCATGCACCAAGTGAGGCCTGCTCTGCAGCCTTCAGCAGCAAGCAATGGTTGGACTAGAGCTTCAGGGATTCTTTTGTCAGCACATTCCCTAATTTCTGCCCCCTCCCCCAAGGGAAGGGGGCAGAATTATTTGCAAAATAGGAGCATCTCATAGTTTGTGTAGCTTTTTAGGGAGGGGGTTGGGGTGGGGGCACAGTTTCACTCTCTCACCCAGGCTGGATTGCACTGGTGTTATCTCGGCTCACTGCAGCCTCTACCTCCTGGGCTCAAGTGATCCTTCCACCTCAGCCTCCTAAGTAGCTGGGACTACTACTACAGGTGCATGCCAACACATCCTGCTAATTTTTGTATTTTTTTGTAGAGACAGTGTCTCCCTATGTTGCTCAGGCTGGTCTCGAACTCCTGGGCTGAAGGAATCTACCTGCCTTGGGCTCCCAAAGTGCTGGCATTACACGCCACCACACCCAGCCCTTTGTGTAGCTTTTTGCCTCTTTGCAAATCTAATGTGCTATCAGGCTTCAAGACTTGATCTAAAGAATAACACAAAAATAAAAATGAAGCAAAAATTACAACCCCAAAACTTTGCCTTGTTGTCTTTTTAAATGTGGGGAACGAATATAAAGAGAAGAAACTTGAACTTGGAAGCTCTTCAGGTTTACTATAAATGCATTATATGAACTCTATTATTTTTATTTTTTTTTTCTAGTCCTGACTCACATGACAAGTATATGGATTCTAGAGAGAAGGCTAAGCATCTCGAGAGCTCTGGGGTGGTTTGTTTGGGTTTTTTAGTTGTTGTAAGGTGGGGGAGTAGGCAGTAGCAGGGAATGGAAACTCATTACTCTTGCTTTTTAACCAGCCACGTGTGAATCCTGGGCAGCACTTTAATGTTTCTAATGAATATAAATGCTTCCAACATTAGAACCAATAATTAAGGCACTTTGAGGTTATAAGAGCTTCAATACTCTTGGGGTACCCATAGCATAAGAATCTAGTTCTGCTGGAAATCCAGGTACGTCAGATAGAAATGAAGCCATTTTCCTTTCTTCTTGTTGGGAAACCCTCTCCCAGGCCATAACCTCCTCCCATCTCCATTCCTGACTCCTACAGAATTGTATTAGCAGAAATCTGACCCACCATGTTTGGCTGCCAGCCCTCCACATTCACACATCTATCAATGCACCACCAAAAGTCATCTTCTGACTCTCCCTTCCAGGCAAAAACAGGAAATCCTGAGAAAAAAAGGAACAAAGAGAAACCATTAAAGACCAAAAGAGGCTGATCGCCAAATTTTAGTGAGAAGATTCTGGTTCCTAATTTCCAACTCTCTCATTCTGCTACAATCCTTGGATTGACATTCTTCACTGATTGGCATTGCCTTCAGCCCCTTTATCCATTCCTTTGTCTTTGATGGTCATTCTGCTCTTATTAGCCCAATGAGGACAAGTAGAATGGACAAAAGTATGACAGCTGTTTAAAATGTAACGAGAGGGGGCCAGGCACAGTGGCTCACTCCTGTAATCCCAGCACTTTGGGAGGCTGAGGTGGGTGGATCACCTGAGATCAGGAGTTCAAGGCCAGCCTGGCCAACATGATGAAACCTGTCTCTACTAAAAATACAAAAATTAGCTGGGTGTGGTGGTGCACACCTGTCGTCTCAGCTACTGGGGAGGCTGAGGCAGAAGAATGGCTTGAACCTGGGAGTCGGAGGTTGCAGTGAGCCAAGATCGTTGCTATTGCACTCCAGCCTAGGGGACAGGGCGAGACTCTGTCTCCAAAAAAAAAAAAAAAAAAAGTGACTAGAGGGAAAAGAAAAACCAGAAACAGTTACTTCTTGATCCACTCAAACTGGCATTCTCACCATTTCCCAATTACACTTTAATTTTTTTTGCTTCTATACTTTAATCATCCCACCCTATTATTAAGAAAAAAAAAAAGTGTTTCTCCACTTGCTAAAACGTTACTGTAATTCATAGCGCAGTTAAGTGTCATGTTCCTAACGAAGCCTGATTAACCCAGCTGGAAATGAGCGCTCAAGGAATCTGAACTTTTCTTTTTCTTTTTGAGATGGAGTCTCGCTCTGACACCCAGGCTGGAGTGCAATGGCACCATTTCGGCTCACTGCAACCTCCACCTCCTGGGTTCAAGTGATTCTCCTGCCTCGGCCTCTTGAGTAGCTGGGACTACAGGTGCGTGGCACCACGCCCAGCTAATTTTTGTATTTTTAGTAGAGACGGGGTTTCACCATATTGGCCAGGCTGGTCTCGAACTCCTGACCTCATGATCTGCCCGCCTCAGGCTCCTAAAGTGCTGGGATTACAGGTGTGAGCCACTGCGCCCGGCCTTTTTTTTTTTTTTTTTTTTTTTGAGATGGAGTCTGGCTCTGTCCCCCAGGCTAGAGTGCAGTGGTGCAATCTCGGCTCACTGTAGCCTCTGCCTCCTGGGTTCAAGCGATTCTCCTGCCTCAGCCTTCTGAGTAGCTGGGATTACAGGTGCCCTCCACTACCCCCGGCTAATTTTTGTACTTTTAGTAGAGACGGAGTTTCACCATGTTGGCCACACTGCTCTTGAACTCCTGACCTCAGGTGATCCACCTGTCTCGGCCTCCCAAAGCGGGAATCTGAACTTTTCTAAGCCTCTTGTTTGTGTAGTGAATATGGATTTATAATCTGTCATGGCATTTATCATATATGTCCTTGTATCATTATTTATATATGTGTATTATCTCCTCACCAAAATATAAGATTCTGAGGGTAAAGACATTGCCTCATTTGCCCTTACAGCTCTTAGAGTAGGTCAGTAAGCATTTGTTTAAAAAAAAGAAATGGGGTTGCTGGGCACAGTGGCTCACGCCTGTAATCCCAGCACTTTGGGAGGCCAAGGCAGGCGGGTCACCTGAGGTCAGGAGTTCGAGACCAGCCTGACTAACATGGTGAAACCCCGTCTCTACTAAAAATACAAAAATTAGCCAGGTGTAGTGGAGGCCACCTGTAATCTCAGCTACTCAGGAGGCTGAGGCAGGGGAGTTGCTTGAACCCGGGAGGCGGAGGTCGCAGTGAGCTGAGATCACACCATTGCACTCCAGCCTGTGCGACGGAGTGAGACTCTGTCTCAAAAAAATAAATAAATAAAATAAAAATAATAAAATAATAAAAATTAAAAATAGAAATTAAATTAAGAAATAAAAAAAAAATGGGCTGGGCATGGTGGCTCACACCTCTAATCCCAGCACTTCGGGAGGATGAGGCGAGAGGATCACTTGAGGCCGGCTGTTTGAGAGTAGCCTGAGCAACAGAGCAAGACCCTGTGTCTTCAAAAAAATTTTTTAAGTTAGCTGGGCATGGTGGCATGTGCCTAAAGTCCCAGCTACTCAGAAGACTGAGGTGGGAGGATCACCTGTTCCCAGGAATTGAAGGATGCAGGGAAACACTATTGCACTACTGCACTCCAGCCTGGGTGACAGAGCAAGACTCTGTCTCTACTTTAAAAAAAAGGAAAAGAAATGAATGCGTATTCACTGGGGTACACATTTACTATTTGTATTAATAAAGTATTAAATATTTTTCTATCATATATACAGCCATAAAATCTTATAAATAAGTAAATTAAAATGAAAGAACAAATGAAACGCTGAGCTGTACTGCCAAAGAGTAAAGGCAAGAGGCTGGCAAAGTCCAAATTTCTCTATTTCTTTTGTCCATCAACTACTAGTGGATGCTGTGATCAAATATTAATCTGCCAGGTCAGGTCCTCTTTACTCCTGAAGCAGAAACACCAAACATTAAATCAGGGCAAATTACTTGCTGGAAAACCAATAGGGTCACAAAACTAAGGCTGAAGCATTTTCTCCTGTAATCCATGTTACCTCAATGAGTAGTGTTCACTAGTGCTCTGCTATTAGTAAATCAGTGAGTCAAAACAAAGCATTACCTAACAATGGAATATCAGACATAGGTAGATATTTGTCAACTGTAAAATGGCAAAGTTAACTAGATCATATTTGACAAGCGAAGGCCAGAAAAAGTAAATTCATCAAGAATTGAGATCTATTTCTTCCAAGATAGTTCTTTTATTGTCAACCTTCTTTAAAGATTTATGCTGAAACAACAGAACTTTTTGGAGACTTACTTTAGCCAAAGGCACAGAGAACAAGCTCTTACCACTTTCTGCTAGAGCAGCAGCCACTTCATTGAGAGTGGAATAGATGTTGCAGGCAGCCCATCGGCACTGGGCCCCCAGAGCACCTAGAGTTTCCATAAGTACCTGTATTAAAAAGACAAAGCAGGGGATGAGCAAGCCTGGGCCAAACAACTAGTCAAGGAGATAAAGTTTATATATTTTACAATCAGAAAATACAACAGGAATGACTTAGGCCAGTGATTTTCAAATTGGGCTCTACAGAACTTCTTCAGTATTCTAAGAAGAAGGCAAGTATTGGGGGAAGCCATGGGAAGAGGGAGGCTCCAGCTGACTCTATGTTTTTACCAATTTAAATTAAGCCTCCCCATAAGATTTAATAAATCAAGGACTTCAGAGCCAAAACTTTTCTTAAAAAACACAGATTTACAGTTCTGCTTCTGTTTAGAATACACAAAGCTACAAGAGAAGCTCCCACCTTAATGACATGAAAAAGCTGGGTAGCTACTAGGAAGGCTGAGGTGGGAGGACTGCTTGAGCATGGGAGATGGAGGCTGTAGTGAGTCGTGACTGTGCCACTGAATTCCAGCCTGGACAACAGAGTGAGACCCTGTCTCCAAAAAACCAAACACATGGCCAGGCATGGTGGCTCATGCCTGTAATCCCACTTTGGGAGGCTGAGGTGGGTCATTACCTGAGGTCAGGAGTTCGAGACCAGCCTGGCCAACACGGGGAACCCTATCTCTACTAAAAATACAGAAAAATTAGCCGGGCATGGTGGCGCACGCCTGTAGTCCCAGCTACTTGGGAGGCTGAGGCAGGACAATGGCTTGAAACGGTGAGACAGAGGTTGCAGTGAGCTAAGATTGTACCACTGCACTCCAGCCTGGACAACAAGAGCAAAGCTCTGTCTCAAATGGCCAAGCGCAGTGGCTCACGCCTGTAATCCCAACACTTTGGGAGGCTGAGGCGGGCAGATCATGAGATCAGGAGATCGAGACTATCCTGGCTAACATGGTGAAACTCCGTCTCTACTAAAAACACACAAAAAAATTAGCCAGGCGTGGTGACGGGTGCCTGTAGTCTCAGCTACTCGGGAGGCTGAGCCAGGAGAATGGTGTGAACCTGGGAGGCCGAGATTGCACTATTGCACTCTAGCCTGGGTGACACAGCAAGACTCCGTCTCAAAACAAAACAAAACAAAAAACAAAACGAACAAACACACACACACACAAACCCCCAAAACTGGGTAATCTACAAAGCCAAACTCTTCCTGAGCCCATCAAAGAGCTGAGGCCGTAAAGCACAGCTGAGGCCGTAAAGCACCGAAGTGAACTGCCCTCCAAAGAGTGACACATCGTTTTAAAGAGAGAGGGAAGACTGTTTTACCTTTGGCAGCGCATGTGAGGAAGAAATGGCTGCCACAGATGAGGATAAGAAAATGTCAGCTAAACTTTTGAACAATTAGGAAAGGCTGGGTGTGGGGAAGTGTGTCAATGTGGAATTTGTTGAAGCTCCAGGCACAAGTAGATTTCCCATTCACATGCAGGCTGTCTTCCAGAGGCTTCCACCCAGTGCTCAAAAGAAAGACTGGGGCAGGGAACTGATTGGCTGTGCTCAGAAACAGACATGAAACCTGGGCACTTCCCTATACTCTTTTCTCATAGGAAGCAAAAGCCTCAAGCTATAGGAAGAGCAGGAAGTGGGCCTGCTATTAGGGACCAGGCAAAGATCCACTGTTTCTGGAGGAAGGCAGAAGCAAAAACTCTCTGCCTCTGGGAGAGGCACAGGAAAAACTTTTGGGCCCAGGACAGTTCACTGATACAAAGTAAGGATCTGCTACCTCTCTAGCTCTCCAGGAAGGGCAGGAAAATATGTCTTGCCCAAGACCCACCACAGATGCAAGGCAAAGTTTGGCTGCTACAGATAGGAGAGGCAGGAATATTGAGAAAACCCTGCCCTCACAGACGTCTGCCTAAGACTGAGACCGCACCAGAGATCCAAGAACCCCACTTGCCCTCACCGTGTGCTTAGCCCCAGGAAACAAGGAGCAGCAGTCTAGTATGGCAGATGGGACAGGTACTTGAAAAGAGGACACTTCTGTGGCACACATGTGCAGAAGTAGCTGAAAACTGAGGGTAAAGCAGAAATACTGAGGAATGTCCTTTGGTAACCTCAAAGTACAAGGTTATAGCAGTCCACTGCTGGAGGAATTTGAAGCCTTTATTGGTGTACAACAAACTCTAAATCCAGCCCAATTCATGACTATAATGAAAACTAATATACTACCACTCAATTAAAAATGTCAGGACATATAAAAAGTAAAAAAACAAACAAACAAACAAACAAAAAAAACACTGTCAGGAAATAAGTAAACAATAGAGGCAGGCTCTCAAATGAGCCAGATGTTTGATCAGACAGGAGCTTTAATATAACTATGATCAATATGTTTATGTTATTTATTTTTACTTTTTTAGACACAGGGTCTTGCTATGTTGCCCAGGCTGGAGTAATATGTGTATGTTAAAGGATCTAGTTGAGAAAGACAGACAACATCTATGAATAGATAGAAAATTTCAGAAGAGATGGAAACTATAAAAAGTCAAATACAGGCCAGTGTGGTGGCTCAGGCCTGTAAAGGCCAGCACCTTGGGAGGCTGAGGTGGGCGGATCACCTGGGATTGGGAGTTTGAGACCAGCCTGACCAACATGGAGAAACCCTATCTCTACTAAAAATACAAAATTAGCCGCTTGGTGGCACATGCCTCTAATTCCAGTTATTCGGGAGGCTGAGGCAGGAGAATCGCTTGAACCCAGGAGGTGGAGGTTGTGGTGAGACAAGATTGCGCCATTGCACTCCAGCCTGGGCAACAAGAGCAAAACTCTGTCTTAAAAAAAAAAAAAAAAAAAGGCAAATACAAATGCCAGAAAAAAAAATGTCAAATTAAAAGTTCCTTCAACAGGTTTATCATCAGACTGGGCACATCCAGGGACAGAATCAGTGAACCTGAAGATAGACCAATAAAATTTACTGAACTGAGCCAGGCACAGTGGCTCATGCCTGTAACCCTAGCACTTTGAAAGGCTGAGGCAGGAGATCGCTTGAGGCCAGGAGTTTGAGACCAGCCTGGGCATCACAGCAAGATCTCATCTCTACATAAAATTAAAAAAATTAACCGGGCATGATGGTACATGCCTGTAGTCCCAGTTACTTGGGAGGCTGGGGCAGGAGGAATGCTTGAGCCCAGGAGTTTGAGGCTGCAATGAGCCTGCAATGATTGTACCATTGCACTCCAGCCTGGGTGACACTGTGAGACACTACTCAACAAAACAAAACAACAAAAAAAGAAATTACTGAACTGAAATACAAAAAGAAAAAGACTGGCAGAAAAAAATCAGAACAGAGTGCTTAAAATCTATGGGATCTATGGGAATCTATGGATTCTTTCCCTCTTTGCCTTCTGGAACTCCAATTACATCTATGGAGAGGAAAAAAAGAGGATCTGGGAACAATGACATTTCAAAACCAAACAGCACATTGGTGCCCAGATCCACTAAAAGGAGCCAGGCATTCTGGGAGAAATGGCTGATTCCAAGAGTAGGACATGGAATGTTCAAGATAAGCTTAGGTGATCTTGTACCAAAAGCAAGGAAGTGTTCAAAGAATGAAAGCGGTATGTCAAAAGACAAGTCACAGAAGCCACACTGAAGAGGCTCTCCCTGGTCAAATTGGTAACAAGATGATCATGTAAGTAAGTAATGATAGTAATGGATTATAACCTATTAAATAAAATAGGAAACAATGATTCCATACAAATAAAAATAATGAATAAATCAAAGATAAAGAATGAGATATTTAGTTTCATAGTACTACCTCACATAAACATATTAATTCTATTTTTATTTATTTTTGAGACAGGGTCTCACTCTGTCACCCAGGCTGGAGTGCAGTACAATCTCAGCTCACTGCTCACTGCAATCTCTACCTTCCGGGCTCAATCAATCCTCCCACCTCAGCCTCCCAAGTAGCTGGAACTACAGGCACATGCTACCACACCTAGATAACTTTTGTATTTTTTTGTAGAGATGGTGTTTTACCATGTTGCCTAGGCTAGTCTTGAACTTCTGGACTCAAGTGATCTCTGCCAGCCTTGACCTCCCAAAGTGCTGGGATTACAGGCGTGAGCCATCGCACCCAGTCTAAAAAACATATTAATTATAAACTGGGAAAAATAACTTTTACAGAGGAAAATCCTGGCAGACACTATCTCAATCAAGGGATTAAAGTGAACATCATCACTTCTGGGACAAACTGAAATCATGTGCCACCTGACAGGATGTATCACTTCCCTGTATTTCCATCATAGATGCATAGCCTGAATCTCATAATGAGGAAGCATCAGAAAAATCCAAATTGAGGAAATTCTACAAAATAATTCATCTGTAATCTTCAAAAGTGTCAAGGTCATGAAAATCAAAGATTGAGAAAGTATTCTGTACTAATGAAGATTAAAAAGACATGACAATTAAATGTGACATATAACCATGGACTGGATTCTTTTGTTACAAAAATATTATCAGAACAACAAGTGAAACTCCAGTGGGATCTAAGGATTGGATGGTAATAATGAATCAATGTTAATTTTCTACTTCTGATGGTTATACTGGTTGTACAGGAAAATGTCCTTGTTTGTAGAAAATATACACTAAGGTATTTGGGGAATGCTATGGTCTGAATGTATGTTCTCCCCCCCCCAGAGTCATATGTTAAAAACTAACCCCCTAGGTGACGATGGTATTAAAACGTGATTACGGAAGTGATTGGGAGGTGATTAGACATGAGAGTTCTACCCTCACAAATGGGATTAGTGTACTTATAAAACAGGCCTGAGGAAGCTTGTTTTCTCCTTTGGCCACGTGAGGGCACATAGAAAGCGCCATCTATGAGGAACAGGCCCTCACCAGACACTGAATTTGCTGGCGCCTTGATCTTGGACTTCCCAGCCTCCAGAACTGTGAACAATAAATATCTATTGTTTATTAATTACCCAGTCTAAGGTATTTTGTTATAGCAGCCCAAATGAACTAAGATAAGGGTGAAAGAGTATTAGGTTGGCAAACAAAGCAAAATTTCTTTGTAGTTTTTTTTTTTTTTTTTTTTTTTGAGACGGAGTCTCGCTCTGTCGCCCAGACTGGAGTGCAGTGGCCGGATCTCAGCTCACTGCAAGCTCCGCCTCCCGGGTTTACGCTATTCTCCTGCCTCAGCCTCCCGAGTAGCTGGGACTACAGGCGCCAGCCACCTCGCCCGGCTAGTTTTTTGTATTTTTTAGTAGAGACGGGGTTTCACCGTGTTAGCCAGGATGGTCTCGATCTCCTGACCTCGTGATCCGCCCGTCTCAGCCTCCCAAAGCGCTAGGATTACAGGCTTGAGCCACCGCGCCCGGCCTGTAGTTATTTTTTAAAGGAAAAAAATGTGGGGTGGAAACAATAAATAAATATTAAAATTGGTAAGCTAATTGTGATTAATCCATTCAGGAAAAAAACAGAAAAGGAACCATGAAGGGTGGTAATGCTCAGTGGGCCTAAGGATAAAAAACAAACTAGATGTAATTCAGCAACATGAGACAGTAGAGAAGCACTTACTATTTTAAGCTACCACACTGAAGTCTCATGTCGCTGACTGAGCAGGCCAAAAAAGATTCAAGAGTGTTTCTGTCTTGATTCATTAGTCTGTAGCTCCAAAATAGATAGCTTTTCAATTTATTATATTAATTTTGGGCAGTCAAGGTACTCTTTTCCTCAGAGAACATATAACCCAGAAAAGTCTCATAGTGAAGATGCTAATAGTAGCTGTCTGTACCTTGAGGAATCTCTAATGTTCTGAATCAGGAATGTGACCACATAAGTGTTGTGCTTTGGGAGACATGATCTTTGGAAAGCTGATCTAGCCACACAGATGACCCAGATCTTTTGGATCCCCATAAAAGATTCCAGACCATTGCTCAATATTCCAATTTCCCTACAGTGGTCTCATTATGGTTAGCAACTCCATATACACTGCATCTCTGGTGATAAAAGAGGAGATCTAGAAAATTGTGGGGGCATTTTTGGTTGCCACAATAATTGGAAGGAGAGTGCTATTGGCATTCAGTGGGCAGGACCAGGAATCTCTATATTCTGAAAGTGTCTCAACAAAAAACTGTGTCTGTAGCTGGTACAATTTTCAAATGTCAAAACGAAAGTTCACATGGGTGAAAAACCTATCTACAATTATCTGAGTACTCGAACCTAATTCCACTTTACAAATTAGCAAAAAGTAGTTTTGTAGTTTTAATACAAAACAATAGTTTTTCCAGGAATGTAACAGCTATATAAATGAAGAGAAAACTCATACTTTTTGTTGTTCTTGTTGTTCAGAAGTTTACAAAAAGTTGTTTACTATTTCAGAAAATCATGGCAATGCTGCTCTGATGCTCTGGAATCAATAACACAATTCTTTCTGTCTTCAAATAATACTATTTCAAATAATACTGTGAAATAGTACAAATATCTGATTGTTCTACTATAGTTGTCCTCGAGTATTTACATATTGAAATACACATTATTTTAAGTATTGTACTTTCTTTTTTTCCTCCTTCATATTTCAGTTAAGATTTTATATTGATTTTTTTTAAAGATTATATGTACCTAGACATGTTATATCTGAATTTCACTTCAGGATAATTCAGGGACACTGCAAAAAAAAATGTTTTTTAATAAAAAGGGGACATTAAAACTGATGAGAGTAAGGTAGGAATCACTGGTGTAAGCAAATCATGGTAATTCCAAGCCCCTTGCTAGGACTGATGGGGCACAGGCACGTGATCCAGTTCTGCCCAATGAGACATGATGGAGTATCCTGGAGGGACTTCTCTTGAGCGAGGAAGAAATGGTCCCTCTTCTTTTTCATGTCAGTTTGTGATGACTAGAATAGCTGTAAGCATCTTGCTATCAGCTTGAGGGTGAAGTAAGCATACTGAGGAGGCAGCTCCAAGAGAATCAGAGAGGTGAAGCTGGAACCCTGAGATCCTGCATCTGAAGTCTGCCTTCCCTTTGGACTTTCTGCTATGTACTGTGATAAATTCCTTTATGTGACATAACTTTTATTACAGTCAATAGTTGTTACAATTGCTGTCTTTTATTTTGAGTTATTGTTGTTCATTTCTTACTGTGTTGAATTTATAGCTGTCTCTCAGTATCCTCAGGGAATTGATTCCAGGACTCCCATGGACACCAAAATCTGAGGATGCTCAAGTCCCTTATATAAAATGATGTAATGTTTGCATATAATCTGTGCACATCCTTCTGTATATTTTAAAGCATCGCTAGGTTATTTATAATACCTAATACAGTGTAAATGCTATGTAAATAGTTGTTATATTTCTTATCTGTTATTTTTTATTGCTGTATTATTTTATTTTCTGAATATTTTTGATCTGCAGTTGGTCAAATCCTCAGGAAGCAGAACTGGTGGATATGGAGGGCCAATTGCATAAATTAAATTTGATCATAGGTATATATGTACAGGAAAAAACATAATATATATAGGGTTCAGTACTGCCTGAAGTTTCAGGTGTCCACTAGGAGTCTTGAAACTTATCCCCCACAGACAAAGCAGGAGGACTACTATATATTGAAGTTAAAATCTTGACTCTGTGATTTCTAGCTGTATAACCTTAAACAAATATTTTAGGCCCTCTGAGCCTCAGCTTCTTCGTTTATAAAATGGAAACAAGAATAGCTCCTTTATATGGCCATTATAAGGATTAATGAGCTAATACTTGTTAAGCTCTTAACTCGGTGCTTGGCATCTTGTAAGCTCTCGGTAGCTCATGGCTATTATTAACTATTGTTATTAAAAGGAGAAAAGAAAAGAACTCACAGCAGTCTGAGCAGTGATGTGTGTGCAACCCACGATTTTGGCTCCAGCCAAAGGCTTTTCTCCTTGAGCTCTCTTCCTCAAAGCCATCAATGCAGGCATTTCTGAAAAGCCCCAATAAATACAGCAATATTAAAGAAGAGGGAATAAGAGATAAAAGAACAAACAGAAAAACTTATTTTCTTAAGTTAAGATCCTTCCCCTGATCAGGTTAGATTAGGTTTCTCCAGGGATCAAGACATTAAACCTGAATTTTCCTTTATAAAGGGCTTTCAGAGGTTCCAGGGTTCTGATTCTCTATATTCCTGTCCTTATCCAGTCTCTCTCCCTTTTTTTTTTCCAAATATAGGGTTCCTCCTAGACTTGCCAGATTTCCCCAGTGTTTTCTGAACTCATATTTCTTTTGTTATAAGTATTCTTATCACATAGAAATTTCACCAGACCCCAGACATAAAAAGGGATTAATACAGACAAAAAGACACAGGCAGGTTAAGAAGGAAAAGGTGCTTGTTTTCTTTACCTTGTTCAGCAATTTCAATTTCTCTTCGTCCAAACTCTGCCTGTTTGATGTTCTTAACACAGAAGTCACTGCTTCCCTTAGAGTTCTTTTGCTGCTTGTCCCTGGGGGATGTCTCATCATCAGAGCTATCTGTATATGAAGCCGCTGGAATGACAGAATAAAAAACGCTCAGGGAATAAAAAAATGCTTCCTCTAAAATTCCAAACCACGGAGCGAACTGAGGCTTCTCTAGCCACCTAGCGCCATATAAATTTTTTACCTCTGGTAAGCAACTACATGCTATACACAGACCAGAAGACGCAAGCTGAAAGAGATTGCCAAAGACATTCTTCCTGGATAGCCTTAACTTGAAATTAGGGTTAACTTCATCTTCAGAACATACAGAGGTCCTTGAATATGCAAAAAGGAAAGGTTACACCACGGTAGCATTAGGTGAAAGTTCCTAATGCAAGATCATGGTCATTAACCTGTGGATTTTTGGGATTCTAGCTACTCTGCTCTGTGTGCTGCTTAAATATTTGATATAATTTGTGTTTTAGTACAATTACTGAACAGATAAGACCTAGAAAATAAGGAATCCATGGGAAAGTAATTAAGAACCACACAAAAAGTATTTGTCTGACATAACAGAGCTTTCTTTTTTAAGACGGACTCTGATGAGGCTGAATTGTGCCTGCAGACCTAATTAGACATTAACAATGAAGTATTCAATGTGCTCTCCCTTCTTGCTGGCCTCAGTGGGTCCCGCGTTAGGCATTTTAGACTCCCAAATAAGTGAATAAATCCTCTTTGGTACAATAAAATGCTCTGATAACTAATCCATTTAGCAACATACACTAGAGTGTGAAAGGTCCAAAACTTTTTATCGTGGCTAACAGGCAGCTGCTTGCTACTGCTATTCACATGCTTAGCTGGGGTCTTTTTAGTCTTCACAGGATTCTGTAGTTACTAACCACTTGCTAGATTATTTGAAGCAGCGTCCTTCCCTGATTTGCGTTTGAATTTCTGAAGATAGTTCTTAACCTCCAAGTTTTTTGGGGGGTTAAGAAACACTCTCTAGAAAAAGGTTTGTATCTCTCAATGGAGTAAAGTACTGCCATCACTTTTAAGGGTAGAAAACTGTGAAAGCTCAGAGTGCCTACGGTCTATGATACTCTGATCTACTTATATCCAGAGAATTAAGGCATTTCTGAGATTTCTTAGCAAACGGTCTATCTCTGGGAGGGCTGTAAAAGGCAAGTCTGACCTTGCCCAGTTAATCAGGCATGGCACTACAAACCATTTGGGCAGGAGGGGCTTGAGAATCTCTCATGGAGCTGGAGCAAAGTCCTAACACGAGGCAACAGGAATGAACATGGGCATCAGGGGAGGTGAGGGAATTAGTAAATCCCCAAAGAGACTTTTGTTCTTGAAAGGAGCTAATCTGTACAAAAAGTTTGTGTTCTCTCTCCTAGGGTGAGTGAAAGCTCAAAGTACTTTTGGCAACAGAACCCAGAAACAGCTTTCTGGGAAGTCATCTGTTTTACTAATCAATATTCAGAAATACCTAATAAATTAGAGGCTTAGGGGAACCATGCTTCTACCACCTGAGAGAGAAAAAAATAGCCATCCCTAATCCTGATCCAGATTTATGGGAAAATTACTTTTGAAGAAAGTGTTCATATTCAGAATATCCTGAAATCTCAAATCCTTTTTCAGAGTCATGATGACTTTTATGCTTCCCAATGGCCAAATATATTGGTCATGTGTTCTGGAGTCAGTCTTTGATTTAAGTCTCAGTCTCTGTTTCTGGGTGTATAAAGTGGAGCTGATCTATTTGAAAGAGTTGTTAATTTACTCACGTATTCAGTCATTCACACACTCAGTTGTTTATTCAAATTTTAATTATGCATCTATTGTGTGCTAGACATAGTCTAGGTGCTGGAAATACAGGACAGATATAGATGGTCCTTACCTTCATGGAGTTTTCAGTCAAGTCAGTGAGTCAAAAAAGAAATAACTAGTTACAAAATTAGTTATTTAGAGCTTAAAAAAAAACAGTTGTAATGTGTGCTGTAAAGCAGAAATCAGGATGTCATAAGACTATATAATAGGAGAACATGACTTGTCAGAGTCAAGTTGTTGAGCAGAATAAGTAAGATAATATATGTAAAGTGCTTAGTGCAATGCTTGGCATACAGTAATTAAGCACTCAATAAATGATACCTGATATTACCCACTTCTGCACATATTTTAAATTCAGTTCCAGATATAACATCTTTAAGGGTTCTTACTCAGCTTTAGGATTTTGAATGGGAAAAGAATGACATACATACATTATCATTTAGCAGTTTCTCTTTTTTTATACCTCCATCATCTCCTACTAATCTACCCAAGCAGCAGGTGGTTGGCTGGCAGTGATTTGAGAGGTTGAGACTGGAGTCCTAACTCTACCCAGAGGAGATCCCCCTCCCTATGCCTCTTTAGTTTCTAAGAATGAGTCAGAAGAAAACAAAAAAGCAAAACAAAATTTGAAAACTTCCCCTTAAGGGAAGCATTCCAATTTCCGGCTTCACCATTTTTCCCCCCGACTCAAAGAAAAAAAAAAATCTTTATACCACTTCCCTATTCTAAAAGCTGGAAAAAAAAGTATTTTACTTTCTTAACAGTAGTCAAGTAGTTACAGTTAATTCAACCAATGTTTTTCTTTGAGCCAAAATGTATTTGTTTTCCAAGAGCCTTTTTTTTTTTTTTTTTTTTTGAAGACAGAAGGTCTTACTCTGTCACTCAGGCTGGAGCACAGTGGCACGATCTCGGCTCACTGCAACCTCCGCCTCCTGGGTTCAAACAATTCTCCTGCGTCAGCCTCCCTAGCAGCTGGGATTACAGGCGCCTGCCACTGTGCCCGGCTAATTTTTGCATTTTTAGTAGAGACGGGGTTTTGCCATGCTGGCAGGCTGGTCTTGAACTCCTGACCTCAGGTGATCCACCCACTTTGACCTCCCAAAGTGCTAGGATTAGAGGCTTGAGCCACCATGCTCAGCCTCAAAGAACTCCTTATACGGACCTGCTATCAGGTAAGAACCAAAAATATCAGTTGTCTAGATTGTCCTACTATGCGGATACGACACGGCTGACAGATCCAGACCAAGAGAATGTATTACTAGTTCTGCAAACACAGTGGAAAGGTTATTGCTGAATTAGTGACATTTACTCATTTATTCTTTGAATCCATACTCATTTCTGCCACAGAGTAACAAACTCATGATGACAGTTGAGAGAGCATTAAGGATTGTTCCTAGGAAAATTTAGAGAAACCCAGCACATACGCACAAACACACTTGAACAGAGTTTCTAAAATATTTGTAATTGCCAGCATACTCTAAAGCCCAGAGTCATAGTTTAAATAAGCGAGAACAACCAATAACCTACTAAAATAGTCCTGAAATCCTAGCTCTAGCTTCAACCCTAAATGGTTAAGTGACCAATTTTCAATTTATCTAACTGTAAACTGTAACAGATTCCCTCTTTCCTCATGCTCTTTCCCCCAACTACCACCAGAAAAATCTTATGAATCAATGAGATGATAACCAGAAGGGTTCCGTTTCTATGTAGAAAAGGAGTACGAAGTACAGTATAACTGTACTATGGGATGTTATCTTGTTTCATTATTTTCCAAAATCAGAATACAACATGATGAATCAAGAATCCACAATCTATCTCACAGAACATGTATACACGTTTTAAGGCTCAAGCCTGATTAGCTTTACCTCTCAGCAGCTGTGATACTGTAGGTTACTGCTAGGAGAAGCAGCAGTCAGAACCCTGACTGAATTAGTCCTATTAGACTATTTTATGTCAGGCAACTCCTCTTGGGCCTAACCTATTCATTTGGTAATGGAAGTAACAGTAGGGACCTACTAACCTATTCATTTGGTAATGGAAGTAACAGTAGGGACCT